CTCACAGCCCAAAAAAATTCCACCCTAAATAAACAAAAACATCACCAAACATAAAGCACACGCATATATATATATATATATATATATATATATACATATATATATATATATGCATCCTCCCAACGGTTTAGCACACGCATATATATATGTATATATATATATATATATATATATATATATATGCGTGTGCTTTATGTTTGGTGATGTTTTTGTTTATTTAGGGTGGAATTTTTTTGGGCTGTGAGTTCGGCCTCGCCTCTCTCTATATCTGGGCTATCGGAATTTTTGCTGCTGGTCAGAGTTCGACAATGACTGGTACATACGCTGGACAGTTCGTCATGGAAGTAAATCTTATGTTATCAGCAAGAAATGCGTTTCTGGAAGAACATTTCTAATCAGTAAAGCTTGTTATTTTTAGATGTATTACTGAAGTATTTTGTTAGATGTTTTGTAAAAAGATGTTTCAGGGTTTTATACAAGTTTCATGGCCTAAGTGGAAGAGAGTTTTGGTCACTCGAGCCATTGCTGTTTTGCCAACTCTCGCTGTCACTTTCATTGCCAACGGTGTGAATAATTTAACTGGTCAGTTTTAAGTTCCTTGACAGTCGATTCCAAGTACTTTTAATGCGCACAAAATGCAAACTAATTTCTCAAACTAGTTATTCGATTTCCTTTGCAGTAACAGTAATTTTTACAAATAACTCCCGCTACTGGTTTTCCAACAACATACAATAATTCTCCAATAATGGAGTAGCGGACCAGTTAAGAACTTTATTTATTTATGGAAGAGACATTGTTCGTTAACCTAAGAAGAATATACAATTTGCATAAAATATTCTTTCGGTTTTTAAGACTTCCATTGTCAAAAATCTATACGGGGAACTTAAATTTTTAACACAAACGCAGCAGCCCCATATCTACAGCGGTTGGGTGCACTTCCACATTAATCGATAACGATAGCAAGTTACCTTAGCATTGATGGTGTAAGTGACTTCGAACGAGATGAGTCATCTACGGAACACGGTCAGGTGGCTGGTCTTGGTTAGCGATATGTTTGCAACGTGAAGTTTGAGCATCGATGTGTGCCACCATTGCCTAATAGATTATAGGCCAGAAAGATAACAACTGAGAAATGATAAGCCTATAGCGGCCTAACAAATACACAGCATAAGTTGGCCGGCTAGCGGCCTTGTACACATGGCGTACCGTGTGGGAGGAATGGTACATGCCAACGATGGCATCTCAGACAGATCGCACTTGAGGATAGCCGCCGCTACTCACAACACCCCGCAGACCAATTGATAAACAATGAACATTGACACGAGGATGAGGATCAGGATGATGATGAGGATACGCTGAGCTGATGGGAAGCGTGGCATAGTGACGGTGATGCTAAACTGATGTACAATTCGCAACTGTCATTTAATAATGATATGGTGAAGTTAATGTACAATAATGATTACGTGCAGCATGACTTAACAACTACGATATCTACATTGGTGACACCCGAGATCAATACGGTATGGATGTAAAAAACGGACGAACTCTGACAGGGCGAACCAGGATAGCAATTAACGAGGCTGTTTATATGCTTCTGGAGAAGGCGGTATTTAGCACAGGTCCAGCATCTTTACCGAAAACATTCGTCGCTCACTGTCTCCAAATCCTCTCAAAACCAAAGATCAGCTGGTGGAAGACTGCTCTCACAAACACCCTCATGTCTTTCTTGTTATTGTACGCATGATGATTTTTGGACTGTAATAACAAACAACAAGTTCAGATTGCAAAAATAGGTTTGCATAACAAGACTGTTTATAGCGATCGAAGTTCCTTAGGATGGGATCGAAATATTTACGTACTACGACATTTGCTAGGCAACTTGAGAAACAGTGGGTATAATCCTTACTGCAGAAACATACAGTAATAGAAGGATAGAAATGGATATAGAAGGAAATAGAAACTATTCTGGGAATAGTTGCTATAGGTGTCATCACTGTTTCGTTTTAGCCCAATATTTGCTTTTTCAAATACTTTGATTTTGAAAATACGTGAAAAAAAATGGAAAGACGTTTCGCAGGCTCTAGAATGTCTTAGCGGCAAGGATTTGCAAATTTTAACTATCTTTCCAATTTACAAAGTTAATTATGAGCTGGTCCTTGTTGTTTCAACCTTGAAAGCGGTTACAATTCTCACACCCTTTGCATTTAAGCGAATTCACATGAGAAACCATGTTAAATTTTGTTTTAGCGCATTGACGACCATGTATGCCGAAATGGGTGCTAGCCTGTTAATTGGTTTACAAATTCATTTCCCTCAATTTTAGTATTCTTCCGTTGGCGGGTAGGAAAGAAAGAGGCGCCCCGCGCAAGGAAATCGCTCAAAAACGACTTTTAAGCCGAAAAAAATGGCAAAAAAGCTCGGGATTTGGAGATGACGAGAGCGGTCGCGTCGCGGCACCAGACGAGACGACCAGGGGCGGGGCTACGCTCACGCTTCCGTAACTCGCCGCAGAACGCTAATTTCATCGCGGAAGCGCAATATTAAAGATTTAAATATTGTGCCGACGAGTTACTGTAGTGGACAAGTTACGGTATTAGACGAGTTACTAGGATTCCCATCCGTAACAGCACGGCTCTGAATAAGGTAAAATCGCCGAAACGTTAGCTGTCGACCAACAGCACCAACAGCAACGACAACAACAAGAACGACAACGAAGATCTATGCCAATCTCACATCAACTCAACAAAATCGGTTTAGAAGATCATGTAAAAAGAATATATCAACTGTCTATGCCGAGGTTCAAAGAAAGTTGGTCTTTTGAATTGTAGATGTTAAATCAGCCGTCTCCAATGAGAAACTGCTCTCCAGACTTAATAGCTTGCAAGAAATCTCTTTTGTGCGAGATCGTTTCGGTGCGAAAGGCTATTGTTGCCGAGGACAGTATGCAGAATGCAGTCTGTTGCAAATCAAGAAACCTAGAAATGCTTCTATTTGTTCACTGAATTTGACACTTTGGAGCAAGTTTTCGCTTTGGTAACATGATAAATCACTGAGTTCGATATTCAAATGCATCCATACGTGGACTTAAGTATAATTTGCCTTTCATAAATTTATCGTTATATCCTTACATCCATTTTGCCGTCTACAATTTACAAAATATTCATAAATGCAGTATACATGTATGTATAAATACGTATGTATGTATTCAATAATAATTGTAATAGCAATGGCAATCTTTCAACTCTTGTCTACAATCATGATGGGCGGAGCATATTCAGAGATCATTCATATGTGCACGAAGATAATTGCAGTCGTCATATATATTTTTCAGTGCCTACTTGTAATCAACAGTCTGCTTAAAACTTACAATTCTCGCCTACAATAAATAATCTTCAAATGGAATTTCATAGAGGTCGTGTACATATTGTGTTTCATCCATTGACATATTCTAAACAGCAATGTTTTTTTCTTGCAACGGGTTTTCTAGTGCTACCCTTTCTAGCAGGTTTAACAGTATTTCGCCAATCGGACTACTATGCGATGGCTCTGTAAAATCCCTCACATTCCGACATTCACACCCGTTTCGTAGCCGCAGATCGCACATTAGATTTCATGTGATCGCACTACAAGAAATAAAAATCAAGAAAACCGACATACGGAGACTAAACAACGGGGTCCTTGTCATACGTGAAGGAAAGGCACCGTCACAAAATGTCGGCGGCGTATGCTTTGTTGTCCACCCGTCCACTGTCCATATCGTCGACTCATACGAGATCCTTTCCCCTCGTATAGCCGTCCTCCGTCTTCAACTGCTGCATCATAAAAAGATCACTATCATCAACTGCTACTCATCGACCGACGCAGTTGATGAGTCCGAATTAAATTCGTTCTACTATCAGTTGGAGGAAGTTATCCGCAGTGATAAAGCATATCATAAATTTGTTGCCCGAGACTCCAACGCCACAATGGAAAAGGCCAACTAGAGAGAATACACGACCGGCAATTTTAAACGAGAGGAAAGAAATGGGAATTGAAACCGTCTTGCAGGGCTCTTGTCTGCAGCATGTCTTTTCCATGGAAACTCGTTTTTCTAGCAGAAAAAAAAGCCGCCGCTTGACATAGGAGTCTTCCAACGGCATGATTCGTGCGGATATCGACCACATTCTGACAAATAGAGGAGGGTGTCTAATTGACAAATCGGTAGTCCCGTCATTCTGTATTGATTCCGATCACTGCCTTCTTCGTGAAAAGATTCGATTTAACCGTAAACTGGAAAACAATTCACTTCATCAACCGCGAGGAAAAAGTCTAGTTGTATACGACGAGAACATTCTGAACAAAGTCCTATCGAAACGTGACTGACAAATTAGAGAAGGTCCGACCGAAGATTACGAGCTGCTTGTTGAAGGAATGAAAAGATGTGCCGAATTCGCCTGTTTCTCAAGCAAGAAGATCGGATTGCATCTCCGTCACTACTAAGGAGTTGCTCGAAAAGAGAAGGAAACTGAAGTTTGCTCTTACTGCGACACGTTTAACACGGCCTATAATAAGTGCCAGCTGCAGAAGAGCTTTGTAGGAAGACCTACATTGGTACAGGAGAAAGAAACTATTCGAAGCAGCAGAAAAAAGAATCAATCTGAAAAATAACGTCAGGAGTTGTGTGACTACAGTGTTTCGCTGTCAGTCTCGGTGAACGAGAATGGGATCGTCAAAACTTCCAGCCATGATATCGGATTAATAACGGCAACATGCTGCACCAACCTCTTCCGTTCCTCCCCATCCCGGGCCCCAATATCCCCACTGGAGAAAACCACCTAAATTTCTTCTGTCGGAGCTCCTGGTTGCGACCGAAAGCACGAAAAGGGGCACAGTTCCGGGACCAGATAATATCAGCGCCGATTTCTTTAGAACAGGAAGCCACAATTTACACCTACTTCTCGAAAACCATATGACAGCCTACCTCCAAAAGGAAAAAACTATAAACCAGTGGAGGGGGTCGCGCGCGGCCATCTTGCCAAGAAAGATAATAAGAAGGGATGTTCATAACTGTAGTCTGATATGCTTATTGAACGCACTCTACGCTCGCTCGTCTAAGCTCTTCACGAAAACCCTCTCGCGCATATCGAGGACATTGGATGAGACGCAGTCAATGGAGCAAGCAGGATTTCGACAAGGATTCTGCTGCATGGACCACATCCTGTGTGGAAAGTTATCGAAGTTTGTAAGGAATACCACCTGTTTTTAGCGCTAACCTTTATCGACTATGAAAAAGCGTTTGACGGTATCTAAACGAATGCAATCCTGTCATCGATCGTCGACCAATGAGTGCACCCGTCCTACATAAGAACTCTGCCTGACTGTTACCGGAACTGCACTACAAAAATACAGGTTTTCCATCGGCCTCTTACCATACCCATAGAAAAAGGGGTTCGACAGGGCGACACAATATCGCCAATGCTGTTTAGTGTCGCACTGCAGTGGATAATGAAGTCACTCGACTAGAATGAGAAAGGTATACGTATTGATGGAATGTTCCTATCAAACGTTCGTTTCGCCAACGACATCGTCTTCTCAAGAAGTACCAGGGAACCAGAGACGATGTCCAACGAGCTCAACGAAGTGGGAAAAAAGATCGGACTTCGCAAAAATCGTAAGAAGATCCAGTCCATGAAAAACCCATGGTGAGAAGAAATTGAACTGGCTGAATCTCTGATTGCAAAGTCCACCTCATACATATACCTTGGGCTGTCAATGAACATGGAAAACTGCGTGAAGGAGGAACTAGACAGAGGAAAGAGACCAGCATGGGCTGTTATCAGGCCTCTCAAAGGAATCACCGACCAAATGAAGGACTCGAAAATCCGCGCTCGCGTTTTCGATTCAACGGTCCTTCCAGAGAGCCGTTATGCCGTTATGCTGCAGAGACATGGGCTGTTACATCAACCACGTCAAGAATACTCCGCACTACTCACAGAGCGCTTTGTGCGATGTCTTCTGAAATATAACCGGCACTTTGAATATTTAGCCGGAATGCGAAGCTCTGCTCTTCGAAATGTGTCGCATTTTCAAGATCCAGGAGAATATACATCGATAGCGAAACATAGATGGGCCGGTCACATAATGAGGAGAACAGGCGACAGACGGAAGAAGAGAACTGTATAGTGAACTCCACAAGAATACAAATGTCTCCTAGGACGGCCACCTAGACGTTGGGCGGTTGTGTTCGTAAACAAAGTTAATCAACTGTACCCGTAGATGCAGTTATTTTACAGATCACGGTATGAGACTCGCACCCGCCACCATGATCGAATCAAAGGATCACCATGGAGGACGACTGACAGGCTAAGAAGAGAATGGAAAATATGCTGGGGTCCGCACAATTCGTGAAAACGGGCGTCTAAGTATCCAAGTAGAAAAGATTGCCAATCGGACTGCTGTATGATGGCCTTGTAATATCCCTCACATCGTGTCTTTTCCGAACCCTTGGTGCCTCTTAATTTAACGAAATGCGAAGTCGACGGTTTCCAAGCAATCCCATCCAGTGGAGCGCTAGTAAACGTCCTCGTTTAATTCATCTAGCGATATTTTCCGTACTCGCTTATTATGTATCCTCCAAGCGTTCACCAGGCACTTCTGAGTGGAAGAAAAGTGGTGTGTAGCTAAAGCATATGTAAAAGAGAATGTGTATAAGCTACCAGCAGACAAAAATATATCTAAAATTTGTTATTGCTTCTAACAGATGAACAGTGTGCTGCCATCTGACCGCTTGAGTTCGCAAAAGGTTTCCTTTGTAGCTATCAGTCATTTCTGATTGTGATGATTTGGAGGAATGAGTGGCGTCATGAACTGTGGACCGCATAGCAATGTTCTTCTTATCATTCCACTTCAGTACCTTTACATCTGACCTCTCATTCGTAGTTTGAATATCTTAACTCCGTATTTGTGCATCTTATGTGAGATATCATGATGGATGATGACTCTCCCTCTGAACGGTACAATGGATTCGTCAATACATTTCGAACTTTCAAGGATTGTATATACTGCTGTCATTTCCCACTTGCAAGATCGATCATCGTCATAGCCTTGTACAACGTGTCTTATCCGTCACTTGTTACGTTGCCGGCTAATTGGGGGTTTGCCAAAGTATTTTCACAGAAGACAACGGACAGAGGAGAGTTCGAGTCGTTGAGAAAAATAGACTTCGACAAGGGGTTCATCTTCTCTCGGCGGTAACTTTCGTTAATCTCTTCAGCAAAAATGCGGGAAGTTCTATAACATTCATCTTCTTCTTAAAAGATGATGATAAGTCGACTGAGATCGAAGTTAAAGTCGTCCTCATTAGGGTTAATGATATTGATGCAAGAGAAACAACGTAAGAAACGAAAAGGAGGAACGGACACAGGAAGTGTAGATTGACAATAATGTCACGTAAACGAGCGCCTTGGATACCCGGGTCCTCCAGAATTTTAGTGAAGGGTTATAAAACAATGACTCTACTTTCTCTGCTGCAAATTATTGAACCTAATGGTAAATCTTTACTTCTAATTTATACGAGTTCTAAAACAGTTACATCTTTTAGCAAAAACTACTTTTCTTGCACTTTATCAAGTTAAATCAGGAATATTAGAATCTGCAGATACAAATTTTTCGGTTAACAGTAAAAAAGACACAAATTTTCGTTTTCGACCTGTGAAAACCAGATTTTTCTTGGATTTTAATGATTCTCGATCTTAATTGAACTTGAAATGAAAGTAACACATTAGAAAAGTTATAATTCTTCTATAGAGTGTTAGGCGAAAGTCTCTTCCTCAACTTTTTAAAGTTACCAACTCCGTATGTTCTCTAATTACCGAAAATTATTGGGAGTTATTAGAAAACAAACATCATTGCTTATACAAGGAACACAAAGTTCAATTTTGACCAGAAACTCACCGCTCAGTGTTTTGGAATGAAATACCGAAACACATTCAATATGACGAGCAAAATACTTCCAACTTCTGGCAGTAATGTACTTGACAGATGAAATATGGCAAATTGTGGCATATAGCGGCAACCTTATACCTTTGAATGAATAAAACAAAGCTTCTTCTACAAAACTGTGATATTCCCAATCCATAAGTTCTCTAGCTGTTGAAAACTTATCGTTTGTTTCTAAAAGAAAGAAAAAGCAGTATTTGGCATGTTCAAATCATGGGCGGATTCGCGATTCTCGGCATCCGGGAAGTCTATAGTGGTCGTGTATGTGTTAAATCCAACGCAGATAAACAAATCTACAAGTAATAACAAGCAGTTTAGAAAAAGAAAAACCTTTTTTGTGTCAGAATGTTTTTAACCCACAAGGAATAACGAAAAAATGAGACCTTTCTTCCTATTGCTTCGATGGATTTAAGCGCTAAAGAAATCTAAAATATTTCGATTCTGTGTTGAAAGCTTAATGAATTTTCCAGGTATGAATGACTTCTTAAATTGTGTTCAAATGGTGCAGTTGCCGTTCGCACTGATTCCTATCATCACGTTCACCTCCAGTCAGAAAATTATGCATGATTTCCGGAGTTCCAGGTTCAATTTTTGATTTAGTAGCAAATATATTTCGTTGGATGGAAAAGAAACTGTGCACATGAAGTGGGCTGTAGTTCAAGTTAGATCGAAATTCGAAATTTTTGTGAGGTGAATTTCGCTACTCGTCGGGTTGATGTAAGAATGAATGCGGTTCCACGTAATAGCTTTTTAACTCTAGTGAGTGTAATTGTTTATTATACCTCAAAAATACTATTAAAAATTCATAAAATGTCTAATACAAATGACGACAATGTTTCCAATAGCAAATTGGACTTTAACTAGCGTTAGAATGGGCATTACTAATCAATCAGTGATTATAAGAATTTACGCTTTTTCACTGTTTACAGTCGTATTATATTGAAAGACGCATATGGCGCAGTACGAAGGTGCCCTGCAACACACATGGGATTGATCCCAGCGCCCCTTGCCCAACAAGCCTTCCATTGCTCCGGGGTCTGCAAATTGGTACAAGACTTGTCTGGGAGTATAGTAACACTGGTTCGACACTGCGGTAGGCCACCACGAGTAAACGCCAGACGATATGCATTCAATCACCTCCAAACGATGCTTAATGAGGTCGAACGCATGACGCATTCCTCACGGATTGACCAATGCCGAGAATTTTTATTCTTTGTTATATTGAAGCATGAAATTTCGCTTCTTTACATGTTTAGTGAGTTGTGTTTATCAGTGGTTTGTCTTCCGTGGAGGAGTGAACTCGTAACCCGCTTAGTCCAATCCGCAACGTAAGTACTGCAGAATGAGAACAAATTTTGCACCTAGGAGTCTTCCTGTGTTTCCATATTTCATCCATTATTGTCTCACAATAATCCAATATACGGATTTCATGGGTATGAACATGTGACCGCTTTGTTCAGATCTTTTGAAATTCATCACTTGAATTATTTCGTTTTCTGTATCACTTCCTTCAGTTTTCTAGTAAATGTATAATTGCTAAAAACAGTAGTAACTAGTAGGTCTTTAATAAGTGTAGATCTTTACTAAGTAATAGTAAGCATAATATGTATAAATGCTAGAAATCAGTAGTAACTAGTAAGTCTTAAGTCTGTTTTCCTAATGCTATTCCTCTTTCTTTTATTTAAGTACCAGATGGGATATAGAGATAGGTGGGTACCGTAACAGTCAACATGTTTAGATTCGATGGTTTCATTATCCTTGTTTCACCTTGAATTTGTGGTTTTATCCTTGTAATGGACAAAATACTTTTAGATCGTTTCAAATCTTCGCATTGGTTGCGGCGACGGTAATAATAGCCATCAACATATATTTCATATTTGACTACGTCATCTCGGTCATAGGCTCCCAGTGGTTCGTATTGGCAATTCTTGCGGTTCCGACAGTTATCTATGTCATGTTTATCGGTTATCTGGTAAGCAGTTATATTTACGAAGTGTGAACTTGAAAGTATGGTACTTATAAACAACACTAACTATACTCGACACAACCATAATGACGCTGAGATATTTACAAAACTCCGGACGGCAGGTGTCTGCTGTGTTGATCGAACACGCCGTTACCCTTTCTGGTGGCTAATCCGCTCACCACCACACCATGCTCGTCCTTCGTTCCACCTTTCTCTCAGCTTCTAGTTTTCTATCTACCAATACCGTCCGGAGTTTTGCAAATATCTCAGCATCGTTGTGGTTGATTTCGCATAATAACCTGCCTTGAAAATTGTAGTAGGCAGTAAATAAAAAAGTTAACATATACTCAACACAGTAGTCACCAGGGTTATCTTTCGATTAATAGAACGTGTCTACGCCACAACTGAATTTTACAATATTTATTTGTAGAAAATCAGATCTTTTTGCAGGTTGTCTACTGTTTTGTGGCCTGTGAATTTGTTTCGGAGACTATCGTAAGCATTTGTAAACATGGTCTGGAAGTTTCCATGGGAAATATCTTCTCAACTAAGTTTATTTTCAGTCGATTCGAGGGTTCGATTTCATACGAGAATACGAAAATGATGCACCATGGTTGAATTACAGTTCTCATCAAAATGATGGATTTCAGTCGTCATCAAACCGGATGAATCAAAACAGTACATGAATCGAGATGCGTATGATAGTCAAAGTTGTGTTGAATGAGAGATTTACGAGTTCCAGTGATCTATTGTAATTGTTGCTTCGTAAATACTTACAATTGTAGTAGCTGATATGTTGAGAACATGTTATATTTTGTTCTTTTCCAACCCAACACAACATCTGTTTAGACCTTTCTGTCGTGATACGTCGTTCATAGGGGTGACTGGCCTCGTGTGTGATATATTGTGATGGCGAGTTCTATCTTAGAGACGAAGAAGAAGAACTACAAAACGTCTTCGTTAAGGTACAGAAGAAGATTGCGTAGACCAATGTTGTGCACACGGTTAAACTAAGGAGTCGAGTAAAATGTTGGTATAACTTGCCGTTCACGTTATTTCATGTCATACGAGGTCCTTAGTATCGTCGTAATTAGCCATCTTACTTACACCTACAGATTTGTCATGCTCACACTAGGTAGTCTTTTCTTGATACAATGAAGATTTCAATGATGCTAAGATATTTGATATATGCTAAGATATATATTGATATTAGACGAACACAGTTAAGCTGAGGCCGCAGTTATAATCACAATTTAACGTCAGTTAAGCTGACGCCACAGTTATAATCACAATTTGACTGGATTCGTTGCCGATTTGGGCCCCCCAGATCAAACCCGTTGACGGGTGATTGCTGATGGCAAAAGATCGATAGAACTAGCTGAGAGACAGGAAAAACGAAGGACCCGGATGGTGTGGTGGTGAAGTGTGCTACTCCCCGGTAAGGACAATAGCGCGTTCGTTCTCCACCGCATACACCTGCGGTCCAAAGTTTTGCAAATATCTCAGCATTATTGAAGTTATATTCAAGTTATCAAGAAGTAATTGTAGTTCGTAAGTCGTTAGTGGCAGGCTGACAACCTCAGAAGAAACCTTACGGCAAACCAGTTTTATTTCGGAACACGTTGAAGTAGTCGCAGCACGGAAGTAAATCCACAAAGGTCTCGTGATCACATTATCAGAATCTAGCAGAGTTCACTATCCAAAGTTTTGTCAAGTCAATAATATATGAAATCCAATTCTACAAATGTGAGGACAAAAGAGTGAAACCCTATTGCGAAAGTTTAACTCTAAGCAGCCTTCTCATAAAAGTATGTCAGAAATTTGTGAAGCATTGATTTCTCTATAGAATACTACGAAAACGCTAGGACACGAAGACGTTTATGCTAATCACAGATGATCGATGCTTATCACAGAGTCATACATTGAATGAAAAATATCAAAAATTTCGAAAAAAGGATACCTAACTTTAAAGTGACACATTTTGTGACGTTATATAAATAAGAACCGGATAGAAAAGTTAGGATTAAGATTTAGTGAAGAAGCATCCTAACCATATACTGTAGAATCCCACCATGACGATAGTAGGTGAGTTCAACTTCAGTGTCGAATCGACAAACAACCTGAAAGATAGAATGACAGGTGAAAATAGCATAACAATACTAATAAAAAATATTGTTTTTGCTATGTTTAACGTTTTGTTTTCTGCCTTCTATAATTTTCATGGCAGGTTAATAAGCGAAATACAACCACAACGTTGCTGAGATATTTGCAAAACTCTGGACCGCAGGTGTCCATGTTGGGGAACGAACGCGGTATTGTCCTTTCCGGGGAGTAACGCGTTCACCACCACACCATGCGGGTCCTTCGTTTCGCCTGCCTCTCAGCTATTTCTATCGATCTTTTTGCCACAGCAATCACCCGTCAGCGGGGTTGATCTGGGGAGCGCAAATCGGCATAGAACCTAGTTAAGCTATGGCTGTAGTTGAAATCACAATGTTTAACGTTTTGTTTTATATCTCAGCAACGTTGTGGTTGTATTTCGCTTAATGACCTGCCATGAAAATTATAGAAGGCAGAAAACAAAACGTTAAACATTGTGATTTCAACTACAGCCATAGCTTAACTGGGTTCTATGCCGATTTGCGCTCCCCAGATCAACCCCGCTGACGGGTGATTGCTGTGGCAAAAAGATCGATAGAAACAGTTGAGAGACAGGCGAAACGAAGGACCGGGATGGTGTGGTGTATACGCGTTACTCCCCGAAAAGGACAATACCGCGTTCGTTCCCCACCATAGACACCTGCGGTCCAGAGTTTTGCAAATATCTCAGCAACATTGTGGTTGTATTGTTTTTGCTATCCAACTTCTTGCAATAGGATTCCAAACAAAGCAAAGTCCACGTTCCATCAGAACAATGAGCAGAAGAAATTAGACATTACCTCGAAAGTGAGCCCAGTAGAGACCTCAACCTTGAGAAGCTGCCCGATTTTTAGGTCTGCAGGAAGGGTGATGCTAAACCAGGAATAGTTGTACAATAAATATTTAGAGGTAAAATGACGCCTCACCTATACTGCTCTTTTCCGGACAATCCTAATTTTTCCGCGTTTTCACCGTCTTTGAATTGTAATGGAATTATTCCCATCCCAACCAAGTTCGAGCGATGAATCCGTTCGAACGATTCAGCAATAACCTGAAAATCAAATATAAGGAGACAATGCCCTTAGAAACTTCTTTAGGTCACCAACAGCCTTGACACCCTGTAAATAAGGTCCTTTAGCAGCCCAATCTCGAGAGGATCCACACCCATACTCCTTTCCCGCCAGTATGATAACCTATATGGACAGAAATTAGATAAATAAACAATTAAAGTACAAAAGGTGTACACGGACAGGGTTTCCTTCGTCTGCATACTTCATCGCGACATCGTAGACATCTGATTCCATTCCTGAAGGAACGTACAGAGTATAAGGACCAACTTTGGTGGCGAGCTTGTTTACAAGACGAATATTGGCAAATGTTCCACGTGCCATTACCTTAAAGAAATATGTCAAATGCAAGGTTTCATAACACTTACCTCAGTGTCCTGAAAAGTTCACTTCCTATGTCAGTTCTCGCGACGCAATGAATCCTTATATTACATTAAATTATGTGTAACATTTTTATCGCTATTTCCCTAAATATGCACTTAGTCCAATGAAAATCGTATTAGGCACTTCCAAAAAAATATTCTACCACCTTTTGTATCTCTTGCTAAATAATTCATTTATAATATATGATACATATGATATATAACAACAAATACATATGATATATAACAAAAAATAACATATATATGATATATAATATAACACTTACATTATACATATATATATATGTGCATGAATGAAGCTTGGGTGACGCAGTGGTGAACTTGTTCAATAGTGCGCTCAGGTGCGCGGTTACCCCTCGCCCTGGATCAATCACGTCCCTATTCGTCCGATGTAGGGAATGTGGTACCCCAAATTTGTGTAGGAAGTTCTTTTCGATCCATAAATGCGACTGGTTACCTGTGGTGAAGAAGTGGAAAGGACCTATCAAAAGTGCCAAAAGATTCCTGGGGAATTCCACTCGACCAGCATTCAATGACATGACGAAAGTAAAGTCCTCAAGTAGTAGCTGAACCTATGCGTAAGTCTGAAGACCATTGTGGAATATGGCAAAGTGTAAATGTAACCTAAATAATGCTGAGATATTTGCAAAACTCCGGACCGCTGGTGACCGCAATATACTCTACCATTAAAAAAAAGAAGGCAGTAAATTAAGTTAAAAAAGTGTAAATGACTCAAGCGCAAAAAGCAATGGTATCCGAAAACTATTTGATGCTGGGTCATGTAGAAAATAATTCAATTATTTTCGTATTACTTCCCCAATAATTCCTATGTTTTCTCTCTACACAATGTCACTTTTCTATTTATTTTTCCACAACACTCGTCCACCATCAACCACCGTACTTCCAGCCTTTGACTGTCGGTTGGGCAACTTACACTAAATACAGTTCTACATTCTAGGTAATTTTTATATCCACCTATTTAGTTGCTACGAAAGAAACGAAGATGTATTTGATCTTGTAAAGAGTTACAAAAACAGCATCATAATAGATCTGCACAAAATCCTGCCAACAATCCGTTTGGCACTTGACATAGATCCAGGAGCAAATGTCTACCTACACCGTTTCAAGAATTACCACAGACTGTAAATATAAAACTCAAGTTTTCTTGGGCATAACGTCTACAACAACAATGGAAGCATGGAAGCGCACTAATGAACGCGCTCTACAAACGCCTAACGTTTTCACAATCAGCAAATTCCCAGAGGCCGAGTGTAATACAATTTCGTCTACATTCACCTCATGAACCGTTCACCAACCTAGGTGTACAACCACAGTAAAAGGATAAATTTAAAAAAGCTCTCGGTGTTGATCATTCCCTGAGAGATATGCCATGCATTCGACTTCGTTAGCAGTCGTTTGGAGGTGTTTGCTTTCATATTTGGCCTTTACAGTCAATCGCCGTGGCCTACCGATGTATCGAGGCAGTGCTGCTATCCTCCCAGACGCGTCTGCTACCAATTTCCCGACCCCACAGGAATGAGCGTTTGGTGAATCTGGGACGTGAGGATCGGTCCCATGTGTAATCGCAGGGCGCCTCCGACCACTGCGCTACACGCTTCCATACAAGCACAACAGAGACAACTTAGAGTACCCTCCCCATCACACTAGCAACTGTCTTTGAGCAAATCTATTCACATTGGACATCAAGCAAAGAAATGGTCTCATGTAGACTTAACTGTCAGCACACAGCTTTTCTACCAAGATAAAAAAAATTACCTCATCGTTTCCACGACGAGCACCATATGTGTTGAATTCTGCCGGTGAGACGCCTCGAGAAGCAAGATAGCGAGCCGCAGATGAAGTCTAAACGAAATAAGAAGAAGTGCGACGACGTATTTTTGTGAGATCACAGTGATTACTTTCGAAATAGACCCAGCCGGTGAAATGTGGTCAGTTGTTACTGAATCTCCCAGATTCAACAGTGCGTATGCGTTGCGGATAGAAGTTTGTTGCAGAAGGTCAACGGTCTAAACGAATTTACAACTTCAATTCTAAATTCAAGAAAATCTTAACCATATAGGAAACCTTCAATGCATGTTTATGATGAAGAAGAAAACAGAGAGAAAAAATAAGAACTTGCGAGAACAGAACATACCATATTATCGAAAAATGGGACTTTTTTAATGTAAGTACTTTTTGAATCCCACGGATAAAGTTTTGCTGCTGAGATCGCAAGTTTTTGCCATTGCTCTGACCCATCCTTTACGTTAGCGTAGACCTACAAAACCAAATAGTGCATAAGAATTCCTGTGCGTGTTCCACATAAATTCTCTCCCAACAGTTTACCGCCTCATCGCGGCTGGGAGGTGTTTCTGGGTGTCAGGATGCGGTGTATAGCGCAGGGATTCATCTCCCCCGCAGGGTCCCACAACCTGAAAAGGAGTCCGGCATTTCCACCAGGAAGCCCAGCTAAGAGTAAACCAATACAAGGATTCACCACTCTCTTGATACTAAACTAATCGCACGGTGGCAAATCTCCCTCTGATGCACAAGAGCTGCGACTGCCTGTGGTGGTAAGGATCTGTGGCACACTTTGAGTGGACTGACCTCGAGAGTACAGGAAAACACAATGGCTAAACCAATAAAACTCCGACAAATGGAGACTATGCTGGGGCCTGCATAACCAGTGAGGACGGGCGGTCCAAGTATCAAAGTAACTAAATTCCACATGAATACTCACCTCTCTGAAGAATTGTGGCTTCACAAACTCCTCTTCGAGTCTTGCTACTTCCTCCCGTGTTGGCCAAATATCTTTAAGATAAACATCTCTACCGGCTGGTGTTCTTGCTGAAACAAAATAGGACGGATCACTGTTATATTACAGTCAGAACAAAATTGCTCAAAAGAAAGAAAAAAGAAGAAAAACTGATAACCGATAACTCTGTTGATATCCTTGCTCACATTACCAATTATCGAATAAGCAACAACAAGAGGAGGACTTGCAAGATAATTGGCTCTGACTAGTGGATGAATACGACCTTCAAAGTTTCGATTACCAGACAGCACTCCAGCAACAATAAGATCAGTCTGAAGTAAAAATCTATCCGATCAGAACATGTTCGAAAGCGGCGGAATTCCGCTGTAACTCAAAATGTCACTATGGAAAAATCGCTGAAATTACCAAAAAAGCGGAGTATACAAAAAAATCCCCTGCAACATAACGAATGCTCTCCATCTCTATTTCTATTTTAATTTCCCTTAAGAGTGATTGAAAACTGTTTGTTAACAGCTTCATCATGCTTTTCCTCCATTAACACCTACCAACTTCAAAAAATGTTGCCTAAAAAGCATTTGGTAGGAAACAGTCACGATCATATCAGCCAGTCACATGTGCCTTCAGACAGGGTGTAGAAATCACCAAAAAAACTGTGGAATGTTCGTCTTCTCACATCCTTTCCTGGCCACTCTTCTCCTAACTAGCACAAATTCGACTAATTCTACCTATTAAAGGCTCTAAAGCTCTCGGCGCTCATCAATTCCTGAAGGATTTGCCATGCATTCGGCTTCAGTAAGCATCGTTGGAGGTGACTGAATGGATATCTGACCTTTACAATGACTCGCTGTGGCCCACCCATGTATCGAGCCAGCGCTGCTATTCTCCCAGACAAGTCTGGTACCAATTTGCCGACTCCAAAAGGATGGAAGGTTTGGTGAGCCTAGGGACGTGATGTGGGTGGCGGGGTCCCTCCGACCACTGCGCCACCCGCGCCACTATTCTACCTATAGATACTTATTTTCCCTTGTCATTAGAGACTTGAAAATGTTCCCGAAACCCTTTTATGTAACAGCACAATCACGCAAGTTCAACGTAAGAACAGTGAAAAAGTACGAAGTCCCACGTTGTAGGATAGGATACTAACCCTATATAGTTTCCACAACCCAAAGAATGAAAATAAAGGATGAACTACTAAGTGCAACACACTATATAAATGGTAAAATTCCGCAAACCTCTTCAATAACTCTTGAGACCTCATTTTCAAGAGGACCAGAGTTCCCTATGCATGTCATACATCCATAGCCGACAATATGAAAGCCGAGCTTCTCAAGATAATGAAGAAGACCAGAAGCTTCAAGATATTTCGTAACAACTCCAGATCCTGGAGAAAGCGATGTCTTCGTGAAAGGTTGAGTAGATAACCCGAGCTCGACTGCCTTAAGTGCGAAACAGTTGTGAAGTAAATCAATTAGACAAAACATATTCCAGTTTTCGACAAGAAAAGTGTAAACAGGAAAAAGAATATTATGAAAGCAATAAGATCCACAGCATCAACGTCCTGCAACAATGCCATAACCTGTGAAAAGACAACCGATATTTTATCTCTCACTAAGTACGTATTCGAAATTTCGTATGAAACACGCTAAAACGTAGTCCACCCGTCGTAGTACAACGAATTTGAGCAATCAAACTGACGAGGCGGAAAAGCCAATTCGAATAAAACGATGGCAGAAGATCACCACACCTTTTTGGCTACGAGACCTGCAGCGAGCATAACGCTGGGGTTACTAGTGTTCGTGCACGAAGTGATGGCTGCAATTACAACAGAACCATGAGTTAGCGGTGCGCTCTTACCGATATTTGTGGCAAAAACTTCCTTATTCACGTCGGTTGGTTTCAAACCATAACCCTAAAATTTTTAAACGACGAAGAGCTAATACCAATCATTAAGTTCTCAAAAGAAAAAAGTTAATATACCTCAAAGACTAATTGAAATAGTCGCTAAGTTTTACCTTGAAGGAAACTTTAGCAGTAAGCCCATTTGTAAAATCAATATGCAGAGAAGACAAGATGATGTGGTCATGAGGGCGCTTTGGTCCAGAGACAGAGGGAACAATTGTACTTAGGTCTAGAGATAAAACCTAAATGACAAGTTGTGCTAACGAGGAGAGCCACGCAAAGCTCGAACAAAAGAATTTCAAGAATAAGCTGTAGTCAGTACCCTTCTAAATTGTGCAGCCTACACTAGATTGGTATAGAACACCGGTTCGGCCAACTTTTAGCATATTCACCTTCTTCACAGCCGGAATGATTCGAGTCGATTGTCCACAGCCGTTCATTCTTGTCATGTGGATCTTTGTGGTCGCATCGAGTCGAATGTTCTTGAGTCAAGCACTGCTCAAACGAAATAACCTCATTACCCAGTGCCCCTTTACACAAGACGATTGCTAACTGATTATCCATTGATAATTTGTTCTTCTCCGAAGAATCGATCCTGTTCAGAAGTCGGTCTAGAAAAATAATACTTCGATATGTGTGAGCTAAACTAATACCGATTGTTACAGAGTAGACTGTATCCAGGAAAAATATTACCACCAACGGATAATCAATTCAATCAACAACGGCTGTGTACTGGAGCGTACTGCAGAGTGAAGTTACTTATTACAGGTGTACTCCACTCCAAAGGGTTCAACTCAGTCGGATTACGAACACCCACATCGCAACGACGAACGGCTGTAGACAATGGAGTTAAATCAACACGGCTCCGAAAAAAGCGAAAAAGCAAAAACGTCGGCCAAATAAAAATTTTGTAACAACCTAGGTGTTGAAGAGTACGAAAGGACACTGATTATTCATGCCGAGATTAAGCGACGATCGGTTTAGGAAAGTACGAACCTGGGTATAAGCGATATTGTTCGACGCAGTATAGTCGACAAACATTTTATTCCTCATTAAATAGTCCTGTACCCTTTGACAATATGTTTCGTCACGACCCGTTTGTTTCAGATAACTAAAAAAACACAATCTTAACCTTTTTATTTACTGCCTATTCTTTTTAACGGTAAGGTATTTTGCGAAATATAACTTCTATAATGTTGAGATATTTCCAAAACTCCGGACCACAGACGTCTGCGCTGGGGAACGAACGCGCTATTGTCCTTTTCGGGGAGTAACGCGTATACACCACACCATCCCGGTCCTTCGTTTCGCCTGTCTCTCAGCTAGTTCTATCGATCTTTTGCCATCAGCAATCACCCGTCACCGGGATTGATCTGGGGAGTCCAAATCGGCATTGAACCCAGTTAAGCTGCGGCTATAGTTATAATCACAATCTTAATCTTTTCATTTGCTGCCTATTCTTCTTAACGGCAAGGTATTTTGCGGAATATAACATCTATAGTAACTCCCAAGTCCGACTTTCTATTAACCTCGGCATTGATTGAATATATCTTTCTACTTCTGTTCAGAACGCGCAAAACTATAGAGGCATTCTGGATTAATTCCAAGAATCCGAAAATGAACCGAAGGGAGGAATGCCTCATTATCACGCGTGATATTGGACAGTATATAAGCTTGTTAATCTGATAGGAGGGGCACATTACGCTTCCATGTGAATTCTGTGCGGTGGGCTTTCACGCGACATACTCAGTGGACTCATAGAAAGCGGTGAGTGTGCAGAGCTATGCTAAATGTGAATGAAATTTTGGTTTAGCGTTTTCTCTGTTTGGTTATGGAGGTGTTTGGCCGAGTGGATTGCTGTCAACTTGACCTTTCCAGGTTCTGAGAAGGGCGAAATCCGCCGAAACGTCAGCTTGTGCGTAAATAAAGAAATAAAATAGCACCTCGTGTTTGCTGAACAGAAGTAGAAAGATATAACTTCTATAATTGTAACAACCTGACGAGTGACGGGTGATTGCTAATGGCAAAAGATTGATAGAACTAGGTGAAAGACAGGCGAAACGAAAGACCCGGATGGTGTGGTGGTATACGCATTACTCCCCGAAAAGGACAATAGCGCGTTCGTTCCCCACCGCAGACATCTGCGGTCCGGAGCTTTGTAAATATCTCAGCATTATAAAAGAGCTCATTTGAAATAACCAGTTTTGTCCCGTATTTATATACTTTATGGACTAACGCGACAGTTCGCTTGTCTGCAGGGAAGAATCCAACTGTAGCTCCATACTCAGGACACATATTAGCAATTGTAGCTCGATCGGCAATAGACAGAGAAGCAACTCCTTGCCCAAAGAATTCGACAAACTTTCCAACAACATCAAGAGCACGAAGATTCTACGATACTGATAATACAAGAGTGCAATTACTAGAAGAGAAAATGAAGAAGAACGAAAAAGAAGTTTAACTCAAAAGTTCGTACTTCAAAAAAAATCAGTTCTAAAGGACTAGTAGAAAATAGATAAACAATGCAATTTACCTTTGTTATCGTCAAAACTAAATCCGTGCTAGTTACGGTGTCATCAAGTTCGCCCACAAGTTCATAGCCGACAACTTCAGGAATGACCTAAGCGTGTGGCTACAATAAGTTACAAAACCATTCTGTAAAAGAAAAGAAGGCATTTCACAAATAACAAATAAAGGCTCAGGTGAAATTCTTTGTTTTCTCGCTTGAAAAGCTCTCAAAAAGAGTAAAGAAGAAAGAGATCGGTTATACAGACCATGGATATGGCTTGCCCAAGCATTACAGCTTCTGCCTCAATACCACCGACTCCCCATCCTAGCACTCCACTTCCATCAATCATTGTCGTGTGGGAATCTGTACCTACCACAGAGTCCGGATACAATACCTTATCCTAAACACGTATGGGTGGCATCATATTGCAGTTGTGCACTCACTAAAACGGAAAAGCTATGAAAATCAAAATTTGAATATAATTTACCTCACTGACAAACACTGTCCTTGACAGGTATTCGAGATTGACCTGGTGTACAATCCCAGCTCCCGGAGGGATGACTTGCAGATTTTCAAACGCTTTCGAGCCCCACTGCAATCAATAATGAAATTTGGAACGGATGACAAGGATGCAAGGCAACCATGTTTTATCATCAAGGGAAAGAGATTGTATTCCCCACAAATAATGTCCGTTGCAGTTCATATTGTCATTGGCCCGTCCCAAACCAATCAAAATGCTAAGTGCCTAGTTTTTTCTTCTTGAAAAACTGGAAGCAAATCCAATCATAAGGAGTAGAGAACCAACATACCTGCCATTCCACCGCTATAGTAAACCGTTTTTTTCTACTCATCTCCAACTACTGCATACATAGTAGGTCCAACCTACTGCATACTCATCTGCTGAGTTACAAAAAGAAAACATATGAGCGGACCTTTGCCCATCGAATTATTCAATTATATGTTTTAGCATGCAGGCGCATGTAGCGCAGTGGTCGGAGGCGCCCTGCAATACACATGTGATCGATTGCCGCATCGAGTTCCACCAAGCCCTCCATCCATCCGGGGAAGGGAAATTGGTGCCAGACTTCTCCGAGAAGATAGCAGTACTGGCTCGATACATCGGTAGGCCACCGTGGGTCATTGTAAATGCTAGATATGCATTCAATCACCTCCAACGGTGATTAATGAAGTCGAATGCATGGGACATCCCTCAGAGATTTATCAACACCGAAAGCTTTATCCTTTATGCTTTCATTGTTTAGGACTACAATCACATGAAAATCAGCATTAGAAATAGTGTCAGATAAGAAACAAAATAAATGGCGTCATTTTCAGGGAAGACGTTACTAAACAGCTGGAAATGCGACAATTTAGGTGAAATAGAACTCCCACTCTGATAACTTCTTAAGAATGTCTTAGAAGTATAGCTATTGACTGACTATTCCATTGATAAGGATATAGTCAAGGCGCTAAACATTTTGTCAACTTCTAACAACATCTTCTTAGACCAAACTTACACAATGCTGATGATAGCAAAGGAATAAATTTGTCTAAAGAAGGAAACAACGACTAAGTGGAGACTTTCTCGTCAGTTTTAACTATTATGATAGGAAATAAATTCTTCACTATTCATTACCTTAAGAAAACTGAAGCGCTCGTTGTTCCTCTCAAACTCGATACTTTGGTTCAATCGAAGTGCATCCGTGCTAAAATGTTTCGTAAAAGACTCATTCAAACATGCCAATGGAGCATCTGTTGGTAATATTTGGGAACAATATCGACCGAATAATCAGATGGAACCACTATCCGCTTGCAAAAAAACAACTGACTCAATATAACATGTAAACAATGAAAGCTCGCCTTCCATAACGATCCACTTGAATCGAATGATCAATGACCAGGTCGACAGGGCAAATCGGATTTACTCGACTGGGATCACCACCCAACTTCTGGACAGCGTCTCTCATTGAAGCCAAATCAACAATAGCCGGTACTCCACTAAAAGACGAACCTTGATATAGCCACATAACAACAGAGCGATTTTTTTTCAAATACTGATGTGACCGTCATTAACCTACGTAAAATCTTGGAGAAGAACACGGGCTGGCTTAAATGGAACTTCAGCTTGACGGTGTTGACTTTCTTTCCAATTTAGAATTGTTTCGACATCTGACTCCCGTATGTGAAAACCATCACAGTGTCGAACAGCGGACTCAAGAAGATACCGAATAGAGATAGGAAGCTCCTCTGAAACAAACAACCATCACCGATGCCTCCGGCAAAAACCATTGAACATGACGAAATCACAAACCGTATCTGGGATCATTCAAGGCTGTAAGATCGTAGTACTTGAAGGTTTCATGTCCAACAGTGATGTTCTTCAACAGCCTTGCAAACGTCATTGTCACTGGGAAGTTCTGCACGCGAAAATACGAGTAAGTGGCGAGAGATTTTGTTGAAGGTCACCTCTGATCGACCTAAGAAAGAGCGATAAGGAACGTACTTCTGTCTTTCAAGACGCTTTCAAGAATTATGCAGCGGACACCTTAACACATTGGCGGTCACATGTGTTGGATTCAATGCATTCCTTCCCGATTGTTTCTTTGGATGCACAGAAGTATGTGCTAAAGCTCTTACAATAAATCAATTCCTTCTCCACCACTGATATTGCAAACGGAATGGCCTGACATAACCTACTTTCACCAAATAACAATGCATAGAAAGAAAAACCTAGAGAAGAGCTTGTTCTTTTAAGGCTCATGACTGTTTCTTGTTCACTGTTCGAAGGAAATACAGCAGAAAAAGTGTTACTGACTAAGAGGTAAGTGAGGAATTTCTGGTTTGGGGTGTAAGCAAAGATTGCATTGCTATGATTCGATTGATTCGGCCAAAGGGTTAGGGTTCGTCGCTGATGTGATAATGGTAACCAGTTAGAATGAAACCAATGAGAACTAGGAACGAAGGATGATGAAACAATTGAAAACTGATCCCGCACACGTTCAGGGTATTTCAAGCACAATGGGTAACAAGGGTCAAAGGTCAAAGTTTCAGGAGGATCGGCACAACTATGATTTCAACAATATGTTCACGAAAAAGAAAATACGAAGCATAACAACTGCTAGTTGTTACTGGTTACCACGGCGTCAGCACATCACGATTAGAAACGGTGGAAAGGGCATACTAGTGTAATGAACACGTGGACGGGAACATAGGACACCAGTGATGATGACGTCGGTATGAAGCGCAGGAAACACTAAAAAAGGAATTTAGATACCTAATATTACAACATTTTCCGATCGAAAACATCTTCAACCCACCAAAAACACCGATATCGATTAGTTTAAGTACTTCTGAGGACTATAGTTCTTCAGAACAATGTTCACCATTAAAATTGTTCTACTTGCATATGAACGACTCCATCGATTTTCACCTACTGCCCATTATTCTTTCTATTGTATTTTACCAAGGCGAGCACAGCGCGGAGGTCAGAGGCGCCCTGCAATACACATGGGATCGACCTCCGCACTCCAGGCCCCCCAAGCCCTCCATCCCTCCGTGGTCTGCAAATTGGTACCAGACTTGCTTAGGAGGATAGTAGAACTGGCTTGATACATCGGTAAGCCACCCCGAGTCATTGTAAAGGCCAGATAAGAATTCAATCACCTCTAATATATATTTCGGAAAAAAGTACATCTATGATATAATGGAGGCTGAAAACCTGAAGAAGTTGTGCACTAGCTTTTCCTTAGCGCCAATTATTTACACTGAGTTTAGCAATGTTCCCGATTTCACCATGCATCTACCTATGAGAACTTTTCATCCGACTACTGTTAGCGTTAAGACATAAATCCTAAGACGGAGAAGGACAATATCACTCGTCCATACGTTTAAAATTGAAACACAACAGGAAGAAAATTGTGCTTTGAACAAGGCTGACAAACTTTTTAACGTAAACATTTACTTACCTACTTGGACAATTGGATGGCTCGTCCTCACTGGTTGTGCGGTCCCAGCATAATCTCCACTGCTACGGGGTTTTGCTGGTTTAGCCACTGTGGTTCCCTGGAGTCCCGGAGTCAGCCAGGCCCAAGGTCGTCCTGCCTTAGGTCATCACCACCACAGGCAGTCGCCGCCGTTGTGGATCAGAGGGAGTTTTGCCACCATGCAACTAGTTTCTTACCAGGACGATGACGGATCCTTGCATTGGCTTACTCTTAGCTGGGCTTGATAGAAACGCCGGACTCCTTCTTATCTCTTAAACTGTGTGGGGAATGAATCCACCCGCTCTACATCACAGCCCGACACCCAGGAACACCTCCCAGCCACGATGAGGCGGTAGACCGTTGGGAGGAACGTGAATCTTAACTGGTATAAAAACACGTATCAAATATGAATTTCAACTTACTCGTATTTCAGAATATAAACATCACTGTCGTTAGACCTCTCTAAGTGGTGCTCATCGCACTATCTGCAACGGTTGCTAAGAAAAGATATCCTCTACACCTAAAATAAACACAAAAAATTGTTTTAACTTATTATTTACTGCCCACTCTTTTTAACGGCAGGGTATACATTGTGAAATATAACGATGGCGAAAGATCGATAGAACTAGCTGAGAGAGAGGCGAAACGAAGGACCCGCGTGGTGTGGTGGTGAACGCGCTACTCCCCGGAAAGGACAATAGCGCTTTCGTTCCCCACCACATACACCTGCGGTCCGGAGTTTTGCAAATATCTCAGCATCATTGAAGTTATACTTCACAAAAAATTATTTCTAGGACGACTTCGTTACAATGATTTGAATCCCACCTAACATACTAAATAACACGAATGATGGGCTTAAATACTGAAATTCGAACCCTAGACGGACAGAGTGAGTAAGATCGGATGGCATACCGTGTAAATACAAATATCCGTCGATAAAAGTAATAAAATACAAGCGAAGTGCAATGATGAAGACGAGTAGATTAAGTGAATACCGTATAGAACCGTTGCCATTCACATGATAGCGGGGAAATAGCAAAGTGAGCATGTACAGAAGACTCCTGTGATACTACGAAATCGATGAATTAAATAACTGAGAAACGCTTGTGGTTTATATAGACTGACAGAGGTGCGGGAGCAGCCAAAGGCATGTCACCAATCGATGACAACCAGGGCTTTCCACAGATCTAAGTGGCACAAGTAAGGTGATTTCGTAAAACATTAGATAACAGTAGTGTACGATGAGCAATATACAATTAACGTAAGAAACATGGCATGAGTGCTGTCTAAAAGCATCTCTTGTTCTCCCGTTCACCTTTCAGCGACTCGAACGGGTGCCACTAACGTTTCGATTTGTCCCTCTCGAGGACAAGAGTGGCCTAATAGGTTCTAACACTTCTTTTCTGCTCGTGATAAGGACTCGCTCGGCATCACGTTTTTCTTCTAGGGTCTTCGTGATTCTTACCGTCGGAGCAGTGGTTTTCCTGCTGACCTCTTGTCCATCGGTTGTTGTTTGGACGCAACCCCTGATTTTCGACATTTTGACGTACTGAATTGAATTTGAACTTTATTGAAGACTGAAAATTTTTTAGAAGAGAAAACTCCATTTTTGAACGTTGACGCAAGCTAGAGGTTCGGATCTCCTTTCCCACTTACGTGACTTGAGATATAGCATCCCCTTAACGGCTACGCGTTGGGTGACGCTGAGTGACCTATCGTCTTGGTTATGTAGCCAACATGTTCCCCAACACGTAGGTCAAGGCAGGAAGAATCGTGGAATCGGAAAGGTAGGCACGCAGTAGCGTGTTCTCAGTCCTCGTCAGAGTCACAGACGCTTTCCAAAGTTCCTCAAGCTGCTCGCAACATCTTGCTCAACATTGCGACTGAGTCTTTTCTCAACTTAATTTCTTGACAGATCCAGATGGCTATGCTATTCGGAGATTCTGTTGAGCGTGAATGGGCATCAGAAACAAATTCACTTTTCATGATGACCATCATTTGAGAATTAGTAAAAGGCAAATTTTTCACAACATCAGCAAAGCGAAGGTAGTGTAGTTAGAGAGCATCGATTTTCACTCTCATGTCGTCCCAATCCAATTCCCTCATAAAACTCCCGAGAGTGGCTTCAAATATTTTCGGCGTGATAGTATACTCTCGTCGAACCCTTCGCTATATGTCGATGCCAATCTAGGAATAGAATGGCGATATTATGATTGAGAAATAGTTAAATAGCTCACCAAACATCTCTATATACTGAGCAGGATCGTCGTTTCCTTCTAGAGTCGAAGGTCTTTGTTATCACAATCTTAACCTTTTTATTTACTGCCTATTCTTTTTAGTGGCAGAGTATGTTGCAAAATATAACTTCTATGATATAACGCAGACAACTGTGGTCCGGAGTTTTGCAAATATCTCAGCATTATAGATGACGCAAAAGATCGATAGAACTAGCAGGCGAAACGAAGGATCCGCATGGTGTGGTGGTGGACGCGTTACTACCCGGAAAGGACACTAGCACGTTCGTTCCCCACCGCAAACACCTGCGGTTCGGAGTTTTACAAATATCTCAGCATGATAGAAAGTTTTTGTCGTGTTGGTGGAAAGCGAAACAGAGCTGTGGCTTGTACTCTCGTGAATCTTCTTTGAGCCTCGTCAATGAGTGGATCGACAACAGACAACAGGAAGATTAAGTGGCCCTCGGGTGAGTAGGAAACTTACATTATAAAAGGTAACGTGTGAAAAACTCAGCTATTGTGCCGATGAGAACTAGCGGAAGGTTCCTTAGGTTTGGGTCTTACTTTGTCCAGCCCAGGTGCTATTCGATTCATTGCCGAAACATAGCATGCTGGACTTCACGTGAGAGGACAGTCGGAACGGCATATTCATCCTCTTTACTTATTGAACAGTTCAGAGCAATATTCCTGAATGATCTTTTACACTGCCTTTCTGGAAACCGTGACAGTATCGCACGGGCGTCGGACTTCTGTCACCTCAATCCTGTTATTGGCGAAGTTTCAATGGGCCTTGCGAACCCTCTTTCCAACTCCTACAGCTTCTGCCACTATCATCGGTAACTGCCACGACCGACTTTCTATTAACCTCGGCATTGATCAAGTAATTTTCTTCGCATTTTTGTTGAGCAAACGCGAGGTGTTATTATTCTTCGTTCACGATTAAGCTGACGTTTCGGCGGATTTCGCCTTCCTCAGAGCCTGGAAAGATCAAGTTGATAGCAATCTACTCGGCCAGACGCCTCCATAACCAAACAAAAAAACTCCAAACCAAGATTTCAATCACTTTGAACACAGCTTTGCAAACTCACAGCTTCCTATGAGGCTTCCAC